AGCGAGTGAGAAAGAAGAGACTGTGAGGGAGAAAGAGGGAGAAAGAGAGAGAAAGAGAAAAAGACGAGGACAGACGAACGGAGCGAGAGAAAGAGAAGGAAAGCGAAAAGGAAGAACCGGAGCAAGAGCGAGCGCCGGCAGACTGGGTTGACTCGGTGGCCGAGCGGTATCTCACCCGCGAAAAGCGTCCCGCGATCAGGTGACAGCGGGAGTACACACCGGCGTTACTCCGGAGCGAGAGGGAGAAGAGCGGGACGAGAACGGACGAGAGAGGAGTTGTGGAACGAGAGGGAGGACGGTTGGCTGCCGCGGCGCGACGGAGACAGCCGAGTCGCGAGCGGAACGTGGAGGGAGCGTGGAGTGGCGTGGCGAAGGGCTAGGCGGGAGGCTAAACACGTAGGAGGAAAAGGAACAAACGAGAGAGGAGGAAAGAGACGGAGCGAGAGAGGCGGAGGGGAGTTGGGAAACGCGAGAGGACGGGACGGAGAATGAGTCGACGAAGATCAGAGAGGGAGAGAACGATAGCCGGTGCTCGTGCGTTCGCCGAGTGTAACTCAACTGCCAGAGGAGGACGAGGAGAGACCTCGATGGGACAGAGTGGGACGCGAAGAACCGCCGCTGTGGTACAGACGGAGAGGGAGTAAGTTCAAGAAAGAGAGAAAGAGACGACGCGCGACGGAGGTGTGAGAGAAAAAGAGAGAGGAGAGGGAGAGAGAGAGAGAGAGAGAGAGAGAGAAAGAGAGTTGGAGAGGAGCGAAGGTGAGGGAGATGAGAGTAAGAGAGAGGAGGGGAAGAGAGAGAGAGATCGGCTGTGGGTGACGCGAAGTGGGGTGACGACGGAAAGCCGAGAGAGCGTACGAGAGAGCGGGGTGGTCGGAGGGAGGCAGAGAAGGGCTCCCTGATCGCTTCTGAGTGCAAACGGTTCGGCGTGCGGTGGGACACTGGCAGGCAGTCGGGCGGGCGGGTTGGCTGAAACTGCTGTGGATAGCGGGTGGCGAACGGTGCGATACTCCGCGGAACGGGACGGGACGGGCCGAGAGCCGAGCCGGGCCGGGACCCCCATCCACACGCGGCCACATGGACACGCGCACACACGCCGAAGATCAGGGCGCTCGCGTGTATTCGCCACCGACAGAGGCACCACGCGAAGAGGCGCGGCAATACAGACGCGCGCTCACACGGATAGAGTCACAGTCGGCGACGAACGGTCGACTGCGGGATGTCGGGGGAGGAAGGGCAAGGCAGGCAAGGCAGGCAAGGCAGGCAAGCAGGCAAGCAGGCACGGCATACGAGCTTCAACGCGTTACTACGCCAACGGCACTGCCTGCCCTCGGCTCGGCTCGGTCTCGCTCGGGCGCCCGCGCTAGCCCGACTCTGCCCCGCCGTCTCCATCGGTCTGGTTCTCTATGCCTCTTCGGCGTCCTCGTCGCTCTAGCGTGACTCGTCTCTCGTTCTGGTTCTGTCCCACTCGAACCACACGCCACACTGTGCCGCGCCGCGCCACGCCACACCACACCACGCCACGCCACGTCGCACCACACCGCCGCGCCGATCGAGCCGATGCTCTCTTCCGCAAGCGCGCGTGGTCGTCTCTCTTCTTTTGCGCTCTACTCTCGTCTCTTTCTCTCTCTCTTTCATCGTCGATATGCTTCTCCCTTTTCCTCCCCTGTTACTTTTTCTCGCTCTCGCAAGCTCTGCTACCGCCCTTTCAGTCCTCTTCGCGGGACGTCTGCTTAGTTTCCGTCGAGATCCTCTCATTCCTCGCAGTCTCCGTGGCGTGATCGTCACCGGGTCTTCCTCATTTCGAGTCGCGCACGTCCCCCGCGCGCGCGATCAACGTCTCTCTTCAGGACGCGTCTGCACCGAAACGGTAATGTAATGAAGCGTTACCTGCCGCTGGAATTTAAAGCGACGAAAATTCCTACAGAATCGGACGAAACACAAGAGATCGAACGGTCAACGCTCAAACAATGGAGCAAAGGGACTGGACCTACGGTTTTTAACACTGAACCGTTCAATTTCGAAATTTTTTCAACGCGTCGGTTTTATCTCGTGAGACTTAAAAAATCCCTCCAGCAGCGCCGTCTTCTCCGAGTCTTCTCTTAGACGTCCAAAGGTTTCAACCTGACGCATCCGCTCGCTTGCGTTTTCTTAAGTTTCGCGAGTATTAACGCTGAATTATTCAACGGGCATCATGTAAGTCTACGCGGTAACCTCGGTCCTTGAGAGAATCTGGAGAAACGGGCCGTCGCGCGATTACGCTCGAGACCGAGCGAAGAGAGACTGCTTTTGTCTGGGATATATCGAGATTCTTCTCGAAAATCCTAGAATTCGTAAGGGTAAAAGAATTCAACGGACGCACATAACCTAACACCGTTACTTTGTTATCCCGTTCGCGATCTATCGCATTAGGTCGTTCGGATCCCTCATTTACGGTAAATCGTAATGAGACACCTCAACGCGGCAAAGAGGTGCCCTTTTACACGGATATCATCGTTACACTGTTATGTCACAATGAAAGACACCTGAGCCGCGTCCACAACTAAATTTATAGTTATCAAACGACGATCGCCAATCAGGAAGTCAATAGCGGTGCATCACAATCGCGCGAGAGAGGCGCGAGATTTGCGTTGCAGCCTCGTTCTGCACGGTGCGCGTCGAATTTCCGAGTTTGCCGAGAATCGGAGAGAGAACCATTTTCGGGAATTCGTTACGATACTTTCGACCTGCAGAAAAAGGATGCTTGCCCAAAAATGGTAAAATATAAGATCTGCGCAGTAACATAGGGGAGGCAAAGTTTAAAATTTCCACGATCTCCATCCTCCTTTCTAGCCCGTGTCACTAATAATGACAAGTTTTAAAGGTATCTTCACGCTAGGACAATGATAGTTTCAAGAAGCGAAAAATTGGAAAGAGAGTAGAATCCGACGAACGGAAATCGCACACTGAATCGCACACTGCGCGCCCACAAAGGAATGGGCAAAATAGGAGAACATAAAGGTGCTGAAAGGACGGCATGAAGACTGCATGAGAAGGCAGGCCCTTGCAACAAAATTTGTTAAAATTTTGGAAAGAAGAAAATGTGAGAAGATAATTACATCTAACACAGTCACGCATTTAACTTCACTCATTAGAAATGTGCTCCGTCCCGGAGCAGGTATCACGATACGTTCTTTCAGAATTCCAAGTGCTCAGAGAAAGCAGAAGTTGACGCGGAAGAGCGAGAGATCGCCGCGATAGGTAGGAGCCAGCGAGACTAATATGACACAGTAGGGGGGCGGTACCCCTTAACACCGGGCACGAGGCAAAAAGGGGGGACCAGCTGTGTTCTATCCTTGTTCGGATCGCTCTAAAGGGGGTCGAGGATTATTAAAACGGACGAGAGGGACGAGAATGGCAAGACGGGGACAGGAGGGAGGACAGGCAGCCTTCTACTATTACGGTGCACAGCCTCTGGAACCGGTAACCCCCACTACCCCGCGCCGCCTCACGCTCTCCCGTCCTGCCTGTCTGTCTGTCTTTCTCTCTCTTTCGGCCTCTCCTTCGTTCTCCCTGATTCGGTATTCAAGTTGGAGCTGCGGTGCATGCTCGGTGCATAAAATGCCCCCTACAATGATCCCAATCAACTGTGGCACCCATACGCGCGCAGAACTCAGCAATCAGGACCGCTTTGATGACGACGGCCAAAAATTCGACATTAATTCAATGAGAGACACACCGCGGCGAGTCGATAGGATCGATCGATCGAAGGAATAAACGAACGAACGGACAAACGATCGGCGGACTCTCACCGGCTCATCATGGATCTCGCGGTTGCGAAAGTGGATCATCTATCTTGATCAGCATGCTTGAAAACCGAAACATTTTCAAATGAGTGTTGAAGCACGCGGCTCAAGCGGAAACGTCCCGCGAGGGATATAAACCGGGAAGACCGAGCGGACCGAGCGCGGTAAAACATGATCGATTGAACGTCGCGGCTCGAGTCGTTCGAAAACAACACGCGAACCCGGCCAATTCATGAGAGACAAAGGCGATGAGTCGAGATTTGTCTACACCTTGCTGGCATTGCTCGGCACCTTGCATCTACCTGGCACAATGAAGCACCCAGCACGTGGCGGTCGTCCTTGGGGAAGAGCGTCCCATGGGACGGACGTTCCTCAGAGAGGAAGCCTTACCTGCGCCGTTAAAAAGATCCTAATACCTTGCTCACTATACCGTTGTCACACGAAGGAGCACAAACAGAGGTCGCCCTGATATACGACAAAATGCTCATGTTATGACACTAATATGAATCAAATTAGATTCGTGAAAACGACATCGGCTTCCTGCGTCAACTTATGCGAAAAGAGACGCGTTTGGCCTGATAGTCTTCGTTCATTTCAAGTTTTCATTTATCGACTATAAAATATTCGAGAGTCTTTGGTCGATCCACGTCTCTATATAAGAATAATAATAAAAATAATGCGAAAAAACGAATCTTCGTAGATGTACACGGAGATATACATATATGATTCTCTCTTACGTCCTATAAATTTTCTTAGTTTCACTACATGCTTCTAGAAATGCAAAAATAGGGACTGTAAGGTGTCTATCTTGTTAAGGAGCATAGTAAATTTTGCTAGAAACTTAGCAAATTTCTTAATAGCACATTTCAGGTCTTAAAATATAAATAACACGCATGAAATGAAGAGAGAGATAGTCAGTTAGTGCAAAATGTTGATCTATTCCTCGGTTATAAAATTGTATAGTAATTTTTACAATAAAACTCTCACATGTGTAACGCATATCGCGTCAGACAATTCTACTTTTCATTCTACTATTATCTATTATACCTTCCTCATTCCCACCGATTCAACTTATTTTCTACTACGTGAAGTTATCTCTCTCGGTTCAGCCGAGACACCAGTCTACGCTAAACTCTGCTAAGAGTCCGAGTACGCGGCAGGTGTTTCCACACGACTGTATTTTTTTCAACGCATCCGATCGAGGGATATTCGTACCTTCGCTTAAGCGTCGAGCTTAATCACGCGTAAAACGCGCTCCAGGGAGGGAGACAACGACTCCCTTTCCTTAAGCGGGACAGCCAGCACGGCCACGGTTCGTGGACGACGTTTGGAAACGGTCCGGAATACCGTTGCGGGCGACGGGCCGGCAGTACCGACGACCACTACGAAGGATCAACAGCAACGTCCCGTCACTAATTACATTCTCCTCGCGCAATCACGGTCGCGCGCGTATATATGTACGTGCGCGCGTTACCGCACGAGCGTCACCACCACTACACGTTACGAGCCGCGCGTCCGCTGGCCAAAGTCCAAATCTCTCGGCAGATTAAAAGCTTCTCGGCGATCTCTTGGCTGGAGTTCCTTCCACGTTCCCCTGGAAAGTCTCTCCGCCGGGTATCGGCAGCCCCGGCCGAACCTAACCTCTCCTCTTCTCTTCTCTCTCCTCTTCTCTTCTCTTTCCACCCTCGTCTCGACGACGAGATGTTCCGCAAAATGCGAGCGCACACGTGAGGGACCCCACGCACTCGGGGGTCCTCCACGTGTGTTGCCAACCCAAACCTGAAAATACTCGGAAACGCCTCACGACCCGGGAGTCACATACACACTGAACGCAAGCGTGTCGGAAATACCGGCAACGACCTATGCGGAAGCTAACGAAGCTTGACCTTACTTCAAAGCCGTAACCATCGAGGATAAAGGAGAGCTAAATGAATTTTTTTCCCGGAATATCCGTCGATCTTGCCAAGGCATATTGTGCTTTCAACAAAGAAAAACACGACGACAGCTCTAATATCCCTCAGAATTTTAAGCCATCCAGATTCGTAGCCTCGGATTGCGTGAAGTTAAAATCCGTCCCTGCGAAAGAGAGGGAAGAAAAGGGAATACGAATACCTCTACTGCGGGAAAAGAGTTTGCACAGGATGGCAAAGTCTTCGTTTTGTCGGGATACCGTGACTAAACGCGTCGGCTACGATTCCTTATGAGCACCTTGGCGATAAGGTAAATTCAGCCGGCGATGGATTCCGACTGTGAGAAGAATGAGCGTATGCAGAAAGCTCTGAATTTTCCATCTTCGCGTCCTGGGAGCCGCGATGATTTGAATACCATCGGACGTCGTTCCTATGTCGCCGGCGCGAGTGAACACGATCGGTCTTTTTCGAGGACTTTTTCAGAAACAGCACTGTAAGATTTTATCTCGCCAAAAAGCGATTCCGAAAGGCCTTTCGCGGTCTTTAGAAAGATCTATTATCGGGTCATCGAGAATGATTAAGGATCGCGGCCGGTCATTTTGTTAATTGGCGGTGTTGTTAGAGGAGAAAAGATAAATGTGAAAATCTCGTCCACTTCTAGAAAACCAGAAGTGTAATGGATCTTTTAAACAGCGCGAGTAGTTTTATTTCGAGAAATAAGAGTAACTGGAAGACGGAAGAACGATTAAAAGCGGGAAGAAAACGGCGGTGATGCCGACTTATTCTCCACTCAATGCAAGAATATAAAAAGTAATTATATTAAAATATATTATTTATAGAGACTATCTTGTATATACTTTAACGGTTTTCTCTTTTTCTCTCACTCACTCTTATATAAAAGAATCTCAGCAAATTATATTATTCTTAATAACAAAAATGAATCGGCTAACAGTAGTAAAAAAAATAGTGCAAAAAACGATTTACTAACATGACGAACTAATAGAAGAATTAATAATTATTAAAGGAAGATACGATTAGGTAATCGATAGTAAGAATTAGTAAAAGTTCTTTTTGCGATATTGTTGCAGGTGAACTCTCAGAATATACAAATAACAATGACAAAAATAAAGAACACTCAGCGAATGGGTGATGGGTTTGCCTTGCACGATAGAAAGACGAGGAGAAAAGCCCGATCGCAAAATATTATTTATAGTACACGAATGTGCCAGAAGAACTCGATAAAATGATCTGTTTAATTCCTGAAAATACAGAGACGTGCGGCAAAACAGCGACGGAGGTCGAGCGAATATATATCGCACGATTTCCAGAATTCTATTCAATATCACCGCCGTGATTCTCAAACCTCGCCCTCGTATGGATTACTACGTCACAGTAGATCGACGGGATATCAACGACATCGATGGATCGTATATCAACGAGATCAGATCACCGATTGTGTGTGTGGCAAGCCCAATAATAATAGTAGATAGAAATATCTGCCCGGCAACCGGGCCGACGTCGCTTTTAGGTGCGTATTTTCAGATGTGCGTGACCCGGACATGCACGGACGCCTCGCAAAAACTCGCGCGCATAATACAACACTGAATGAACACTATGCATTTATCGATATATGATTTGTATCTTAGCGACAGTCTGCGGAAACATAAACGGTGAGCTCCTCGAGCGTCGTCTATCGATACACGTGCACTGGACCGACACGCGAGAGTCACGACACAACACACTAGACACAGCGTGTACACAGCCGTGCGACTTGAATCACACACGTTGCGAGATCTAGAGTATCGCGAAGACGTCGAAGGACTGCTCGAGAAGGATCCAATCGAGGATCTACGACCGCTGCAATGCAGCAACGCGCGACTTGTCTCTGCCGTGACAGAGGTGTTTAGACCGCGATGCTCGAACTGAATCAGAAGCGAGAATTTTCGCGCTCGTTCCGGTACGCGATTCTAATACATTCTTGTTTCCTCTCTCTCTCTCTTTCTCTCCGCACTCGTCCCCCCTTCGCCTCTTGAATCTGATTCGCGTCTTCTGGACCAGTTCTCGATCTCGGCGCATTCTCACGGGACAGAAGAGGGATGCTGATGCTGAGAACTGGACAACGGTCAAGCCTTGGCCCGTTCCTCGCGACCTACCAGGACGGACAGAGGGAAGTCGAGGAGGTAGGGGCAGTTTAGCCGATACTGGACGGACGATGCTGGCCACGGGATGTGTAGGGGTTGAATCTTCCGAGATCGGAAGGGTGCGCGGTGTGATTCTGGTTTGATTTTATTCCGCTCGGGGATGATCGCTCTCTCACCGCGTGAGAAAGGGCTCACGGATTCGACCTCTTTCGTCGTTCTCTCCTAGCAACGCCGCTTCCGCGCGTGATGTTGCGTGTGTCACGTCGATCCTCACCGTCAAAGAGCGTGTACAAAATGAACGCTCCGGCTGCGTTGTGTGACATCAGACACGGGAAATTTTATCTCGTGAATTCGATCCGGCTTAATCCACGCGGTGAGCAGCTCGAAATGTAGCACGGACGAGATCAATTGTTTCGGAGAGACTGCAATACTCTGGTTATTGCATAAATAGAAATTTGCTCCATTTTCCTCGTCTTAAAAATCGGTATAGCTTTGTCAGACAGGCTTGATTTGGCTACATCATTTGAATTTTCCACGTCGCGATTAATTTTTAGTAATAACGGCGATTCTCGTCCACCATTTCCTAAGATAAAACTTTCACGTCCCGATGTGTAAACCGATTCGTGTAAACGATTAAATTTGTTTATTTATCCGTATAGAGGAGGAGAGAAAATAAGGGGGAGTCTTTTGGCGACCATGGTCCTCTTGGTGACCATGAAATATGCATCTACTAATTCCGCCGTGAGAGTAGAATAGAGTTCTCCTAGAGAACGATAAAAGAGCACGCCTGCCCTTCAGATCGATCTCACGGAGCGAGGGTTAATGCGAGACGCTCAGACAATTCCGCAAGCAGCCGCAGTTTCGAGGAGGCGACGCTCGATCTCTCGCGCGCGCGCGAGACAGAGAGAGAGAGAAAGAGAGAGAGATAGAGCAGGAGGGAGAGACGCCCAGGGTTCAGGGCGCAATTAGCTCCGCGAATTAAGCGGCGCTTAAGCGCGAGCGAGACCCCGGCCGAATATATCGGCCGCGCGATATCCTCGGGATGACGCCGAGTAAGTTTCGGGACATTCGGGATTATCCGCGGGATCTGCCGAATATTTCGACGATCCGACCGATCCCACCGGAGAGACGCCGCGCGATCTTCAGCAGCAACTCTCCGGGTCTCCGGAAATGTCGCGCACGCGCGCACTTGGCGTAACTTCCACGGCAGAAACGTCCCGGCGCGATCAATCGCTGAATCGACAAGCAGACACGTCAATCTTTAATACAGGCTGCCGCAGGACCGTCGTGCGGACGTCTCTGTGATAATTTCCAAGTCGAGCTAACTAAGATCAGGCGAACACACACGCCGAGACTCCAAAACGTGCGCGTTTGTGTTCTCAATTAATTTATCAGGATCCTCAAGTTTCCGATACTAAATCAACTGTCGCAGCCCCAACATCGGCGCGTTCCACGTGACGTTTAATATCAAACGGAAATCCGACACCTACGCCGCGAGGAAAATCCGGGACACCAGCATCGCCGCTCGAATTATTGTACAAAATGACGGTTGTCGGGGTGAGGCGCGATGAAAAGTAGGATCAGGACGGAGGGTCGCGCGGCCGCTAAGTCGACGGCGAGGCGGAGAAAGAATTACCGGCATTGTTCCAGTCCCCGGGCCGCCCCTTTTGCGAAAACAAAGGGACGAACGCGTCGGAGAGGGAGCGGCGTGGCGCGCAGCTTGGCTCGGCCCGGCGCGACGTGGCCACGCTTAATTCTAAATTCGGCACTAATAACGCCGGCCCGTGTTTCGTTAGCCCCTGGGAGATTAACGCGTCGGCGAGCGGTGGGCTAATAGCGCCGTGCACACCGAATTCGAATAATATTTACCTTCGGCGTGGCGCGCGCGCGCGCCACACAGTACAACGCAGCGCAGCACAGCATAGCTCGGCATGACGCGACGGGACGCGACGCAGCGCGGCGCAGCGCGGCGTGGCGTGGCCACCCAGAGTCTCCTGGGAGCGGCAAATGCGATTGGTTTCGACGTATGTATATGTGCGTGGCCGGATCGTTCCGCGACACACAAAAAGCCGCCACTTTTCGCCGGTCAATCGGATCGCCTCTGCGTCGCGCCACCGCGTCCTTTATTTTTATTTATAGCCCCCTGAAACACGGTTACGCGCGTTCTACGGAACGATCAGTAAATTATGGATAACGCACTAACGAAACGCGCGTGATGCGCCGTTATTCGTGCCGTAGGATCGCACTCGTAGAGTGCGAGTGAAAATTGATAATGGCCGCGTGAACCGAGAAAACGAATTCGAGATTCAAGCGAGAAGACCATTGTGTCTTTCTCCCCGTTGACAATTGGGACTTTCATCGGCGAGCGTTGGGAGTGAACAGAACTGCGAGTAATAAGAAGATACTGTATAGCCGTCGTGGGTGGGCCACCTTGGCGTAGTCATCGCGGCGTACAATAAATTTAATCGTAATTTCGCATAGCACGTTATTAATTTTACCAAATTTACATATAGGGTGTCTGACGATAACATATACTCGTTTCGTGTAGATTAAACAAAAAGTTTCTTTGCCATTTTCCAAATAATCACGTAAAATTTAGTTAGTTTTCAGTTAAAACAAATCGAATAATCGCGTGTCACACTATGAGTGAAGTGCTGTAGAGGCAGTACTTGGACTGTGCTAATCAGCGCTTCCCGCGCGTCACCTATTTCCCCAGTCTGTAAAGCTTGATCTACAATGTGTTCTTTGCTTCCTACTTCTTTCTCTTTATCTCTTTCTTACTCAAACTTTAAGCTTGAAGCCAGAAAAAGACAGAAGACAAGAAATAGAACGCGAAGAGCACATTGTAGATCAGACTTAACGCTCGACGTTCGATCAGAGTAACATTGCGTTAAGCGAGCGTCGAGCGGCAACAGGCGCTGATTAGTGCGGTCCAAGCACCATTTCAGCACTCCACTCACAGTATCACACGTGATCCATTCACCTATCATCTTTAATCAATAACTAACAATTTTATGTGGTTATTTGCAAAATGATAGAAAAATTGTTCAGTTTATACTAATCTATGCGTAGCGTGCGAAATGAATGTTTAAACACCCGATATATAAAGTAGAATACGTCTGTCTGTATGTTCCCTATTAACTCTTAGACTCTTTGACTGATCTGCACTAGATTTTGCATAGTTACTCTCCAGCAACCTGCGGAAAATATAAGCTACCATGAAACCTGGGCACTTCACCCCCTCCCACTAATTTCCTTCCCTTGAACGCTTGACAATTGAAATTTAGATGTTCTAGGTTAGAGTAGATGAAGGAAACCCTGGCAATGCGCGCCGGCTAGTTTAATACTAAACACCATAAGTTCGTCGCGTGAGCGCTCCTCGTCTCGAGAAATCTCGAACAGCCAGCCGGCAGCCGACAATCTGATTAATATCGCGCATTATCTCGGTCTTGCACGCGTAATCAAGTACGTATTAAGGTGCACAGGCAGAATCTCTTGAATCAACGACTGCCATTCAGCCGGTTAGAGCATCGCATCGCATCGCGACGGTTCCACCGGTCGCGAAAGGAGATGGTGAAGGTGGAGGAAGAGCGGACGACGACGCTGGTCCGAGGGAGATCTCTCTTTCTCTCTCTCTCACACACACACACACACACACACACACACACACACACACACACACACACACACACACACACACACACACACTCTCTCTCTCTCTCTCTCTCTTTCTCTCCCTCTCCCTCTCCTCGAACGAGACGCCGCTCTCGGACGATCAATCACTGTCGCCGGTGACACCACGAAGAGATCTCGCGCGTGGGATCTCTCACGGGCTTTGATTCCACAACCTCGGAATATGTTCGGGACCGAGTCGGTCACGGGGATTAACCGGCGATCCGATGAATGACTTATTGAAATGTCACGACGCCACGATTGCGCGGACGTCGGCTCGCTATGATTTACGACTCCGTGACCGGCGGATGATTAATTTCCATTAAGACGCGTAGCCGCACGTTAGAGGATGTGTGCACTCGTTATCAAGCCCATTGTATTTGAGAGCAGTCGATTTAAGGCCGTGTGTAATCGACCCGGATAGAATAATCCCTCGCACGAGTGCGAGCGCACTGACTGCATTTATTCCGACACGTGAGCGCGAGTTCTTTTTTCTCAATTAGGTGATTATCATCACGTGTGTGTATAAGTCTCTTTGGATACGCAGAGCACGGCTGCGACCTATCAGATCAGAAATCTGATGTGATAAGGCCGGGTGGGAATGTTAAAACGTATGTAGAAAAAAAAAACGATCTGTTGAATAACTAACTTTCTGGTGAAATATGAACGAATCAAAAGATTCCGGTTGAAGTTACCAAGATTCTGTTCGAGTGAGTCAGAAGACTGTTAACTTGGACAGAATTCCGGCAACTGAATCTCGTTCATATCTTTTTCATCAGAAATCTGTTTTATCCGATCAAACTTCTTTTTCTCCGTATATATAAATTGATCAAACTTATGACGCGTTTCTTATACTTTGCGTACTGTTTCATTTCCTTTTTATTTTTTTACGCCCAAAACATGCTATAGGATCACGCGCTAGTGATCAATCCTTGTCAACGGGTGTACTTTCATAAATACTCCGAGTTTTTATCCATTGCGGACACTGCGTGTCGAAAGGTTCACGGTGGAGGCTACGTTTTCGTCTCCCCGCGTGATATTTTCGGAATCTACGCGCCCTTCG